ACAAGTCCAAGTTCTAGAGGACACATTGGTTTAGGATTTGGTGACCATGAAAGCCATAGCATATGATTTCTATAATTTGAATGCTAAAACATTTGCTGAGCCCCCTGGGCCCTATGGGTCAAAGACCTGTTATCCTAGAGGAGACTGCTTCAATGGAAAACAACAACGTTGGCATAGTGGCCCCACGGCATATAAGGGTTTCCCCTAGAACATCATTCTCTATAATATTATATTTCAGAAGCTTTTAGATGTTCCTCGCTGTATAAAAGAGGCCACACCTTGAGAAAGTACACAAAGTAAGTGTCAGTATAGTATATCATAACTAACTAGGATGAATGGCAAACATGTTGAAGGGCAGACACGGTGAAACAAGTGTGATAGAGTGGAGTATGAATTACTGCCTCGCGGTAAATTAATGGCATAGGACCGCACTCTCAGACAGAGAGGCGAGCGATCAGAAGAGCTCTGAATAATGACACGGAGAAGCCGTAATCTCTGGCTACCACTCCGATCTCAGAGGGTTAGAGCAAGGACATAAAATAAGAAAAATCCCTCCAAATCCAAAGAGGTTATGACGTAAAAGAGCAAGGAGGAAGGTTCATCAAAGAAAACGAACAGCACCACTCTGAGCCGAGTGACCTTTGCTCCCCTTAAGCGTGGCCTCGTTTGGATGCACGTATATGCATACAGTAAGAGGCAGAAGACGTAGTCTCAGGATGTACGCTTTGAGAATAGCTGAGCTGCAGAACAACTGAACACTTTCATTTTCAGCTGAAAGCCTTTGGTGGAAGAAGTCTCTTTTCTCGCCTGTCTCATCTGACTTTATATTTTCCTCTCTCCTCTGCTGAACCGAAGTCACATCCTCGCTGCCATTCTTTAAAAAAAAAAAAAAAAGCGGAAATGAGTCCCGGTTAAAAAAGCTGTATCTCTGTTTTCTCTCTGTCTCTCCTTGCTGGTGTTTGCCAGAGATAAGCTCAGTAAAGAGTGTCTCCGTCTGCATGTCGACATAGAGTATACACCTCAGTGACCGTGTCATTCATCTCCCTTTATTGCTCAAGACTGTGTGCGTGTCCAAGAATGTGTGTTTGTATCCCCAACTTGTGATGGATTCAGTCCTCTTGGGGGAACTTTACAGAGAGTTTAAAGCGCACCCTGCAACACGAGCGCTTCGCCGTGTGACGTTTTCGTGGCTTCGTGAATAGACACCCGGCCGCCGCCGCGCTCTCAGCTGCAGACCTGGCATCGCGCCCTGTGTTTTGCAGCGCTAGCAGGCAGATTGATCCGGCTTTAATGAAGAGTCCTTCAGCCTAGGTGACATCATTAGCTGCTTGTGGGCCACTGCGGGCCACTTGGCGCGGCTCCTCACTTCACTTCTGGGAAAATAGGTCATTGTGAGTGACAGACAGACAACGTCCAAGGGAGCTGGCCAGCAAACTAGAAAGAGGGGGTATGCAAGGCAGTAGCATGGTGATGCCCTTCAGACACCTGTGACTGTGGTCACAAAACATTCATCTCTCTGCTTAAAGTACTTCTAAAGAACCACCGACACTTTCAGAGAGAAGTTTTTACTAAGCACGAAAACGTCTGGGAACTTTTGAGACCTGATACTGCTTGTTAAGAATTTCAGCTGACAGTGATGATAGTGATGTCACTTCTTATCTATGACTAATATCTGCTTTGCCCTTCACCTGAGTTCCTTGGTCTTATAGTTATTGGTCAATCCAATGAGTGCATTCAGACAAATCCTTACTATACTGCAAACTTGTTTAAAAAGCCCTGTATTACAGGATGTGAAGCATTAACTAAAATAAGTACATAAAACAGGCATCAGTGATACTGGACACTGTTGTGACACTGATGGAAGTGGAGGTGGGTTGCAAAGCGATCTGCAAATCCACAGCATATTGATGAGCTTTGCATCATCAGCCAGCTGTGTTAAGTCTGTCTAACACTGATCTTCCAGGATTGTAGGCTGAGCCTGACTTCATGGCCTGTATGACCTGATAATAAGATCTATTAAAATCTTCGTTCATACCCTCATCACATAATTTCTATTCGCCTTCCTCTGGATTAGACTGGGGTCGACTTGGGGGCAGCTGACCTCTGCATTGGCAGTAATTTAATACATGTGACCTCACATCAAAGCCAAGAAATCAAGACATTAAAGGCTTCAAGTATCTCCCTTATTTAAAACTGTGTCTTGAAATTTGACATATTTTCCACACAGGAAAGCTGCACAGTGACTGCAAATGCTCCACCTGTGTGGGCCTGTAAGGTATGTGAAAAAAAGCATCAGGATGTATTTGTAAGTAAAAATTGGCCCCAATCTGCGATATCTGAGTGCACTGAACAGAGGCAGAGACTAAGTAAAAGTCAAGGAAATGTGCTTTAGAGCAAAGCTGCACCACAGAAGGCTGCAGAGCCATATCATCCATCTAACTGTCAGCACCTCACCAGGCTAAAATCACCATGCCTTCATGTCTGTCGCTGCCCTCTCTTCCTCACTTCTGCCCTGTATCAACCTCCCCCCCCATTCATAAACACACAAACACACACAATAGCTGCACGCTGTAATTTTCACACAGCAGCTGTTTTTGCCTGCCATAAAAGTGACATCCCTCTTTCTCTTCTCTTTCCTCTCTCTCCTTCTTTTCTTCTTTTTTTTACCTCTCCATCCCTCCGTGCCGTGGCCATCCATTCGTCCATATATACTTTATGTTCCTCCCAAGCTGCTGATTTTCCCTGTCCTAGTGTTTCCACACTGCCTGCGGCTCAACGTGTTTGAGCCTGTGTGCTGCGCTCAGATGTGTGTATGTGCAGATGATGTGCCGATGCTGAACTTTTCATGAACCATTATGCATATGCTCCAAGTTTAGGGGCAGTATTTTAAGTTGCAGACTGACAAGCAAGAGGAACAGGAAGCAGCGTGTCTTCACTGCTTATGGTTAAGAATAGAAAACAATTTCCATCTGGATTTGTTTGGTGATCAACAAGTCAGAACTGATTTTTATTGATTTTGTCTATGCAACTTTTTACAGGTAAACTGTACCGAGCTATAGAAGGATCCATGAGTGAGCTTTTAAAAATCCAGGTGGGGTCTCACTGATTTCTTGTAACCAATAGGATTACTGCTTCTACACCCCCCCCCCCCCCCCCCCCCGCTTCACTTTCAGTTAACAATCCCCCAGATGCCTAATTGTTTCTCTAATGATGCTGGGCCTAATGGGACTGTTTATGGTATTCATTTGATAGCTCTGGCCCAGTAATTAGACTGCACCTCACTTCATTAAACAGCAGGGAGGAGGGACTGGGCCTGGTGGCACATACAGTATGTGTGCATGCAGTAGAGAAAAAAGTGAATTTTAAAACACAGGCCGGATGACAACACACACCAACAACACACACACACACACACCACACACACACACACACACACACACACACACACACACACACACACACACAGAAACACACACAGACACAAAGAGCTGCAGACCTAGGAGATGACTGTGTTCAGCTGGAATGGCGATGGCACTTTGCATTCAGAGTGCCTCTCATTTGCCTGCAGTCTTTCACAGACATTTCTTCCATTGTAATTCTTACCACTGCCTCTTAGCATGAGTTCCATTGTACTGTGATGTGTTGTATTGTCTTGGCAAAGGGCTTCAATCAATATCTATGGGTTCCCTTGAAGTGAATAAAATTCTCAACCCTTTGCTTGTTAAAGTATTGTAACTCCCACCAGATAAGAGATTCAGTGAGTCAGCTGCCTTGAATGCAAAAGCGTTGTCTCTGAAAGGCATTATCCAACTTTTTAAGAGTTTGTTAAATTGGTTATCTTTTAAAATACATTTCATTCAGCACCTCTGCAATCCCAAAAAAAAAAGGGGGGGGGTTGTTTTTATCTGCAGTAGTTTAAATTTGGTTGCTCTGCTGGTATGGAGAGCACTGAGAAACACTGAGAGAGACCAGTGCAGAATGTAGCAAACATCAGTGACCGCTCGTATACTGACTGACTCAGAAACAGCACGAAAAGGAGGGAGAGGGGTGGAGATGGGCTCCAAAGTGGCTTGCATGTGCGCACCAACTATAATTAGCTCATATAATGGTCCTTATGTGCCATTTTGCCAGCTGGATGTGTTGAAAAGCATCTACTGACCCATTGGGTGATGTGGGCTGGCATCACCTAATGGGTCAGATTTTTGCAACTGACCATGTTCTATATACATTTGTGGGAGCGCCTTAAATACAGAAAGAGAATATTTAAATCAGACACGCAAATCGATTTACCAATATTTGCAACATGGAGTTTATGGCTAATTGCATCTATATTTAACACCAAAAACAAGCACGTCTATTGTACTTGATGTTGAAATGAACTGACTGTGTTTTCTAAATCTTGACTATAGTATATATTTGGATCTCGTAAATATGCAATATAGAATCATTTTACTCAACAAATGAACTCTAATGAGTTCAGAAAACCTTTTCTGTCTGTGTGCGCCGTGCTAACCTTACATCTTGAACATAATCAAAACTGGGTTAAGCCTCCTGACTGGGATCTCTGTGTCCGACTGAGATGCCGAAACATTCCAGCTCTTTCTTTGTGTCTCCAAAAATACATTCCAGCCTCATCTCTGTCTATATTTAGCCACTATCACTTTTACTATCCACATTTGTAGTCCATGATTTATGCATAGTTTAGCACAATGATGAGTCAGTGAAGGTTTAAGAGGATTATGCCTTTATCTAAAAATCTTGATTTAGCGCTGACCATAAATTAGTGAGTGTTTACGATGGAGAAAAAAGAGAATGAGCGAGCAGAGACAGAGCCTGAGCGCTCTCATTGTAAAACATTCACCGTCTTTCTGCCTGTCTCTCTCCGTGGTCCTGAATCCCATCTGTTGCCCAATACAGAATGCTAAAACGCCCAGTCGTTCTCTCTTGCTCGCCATCTATCCATTAAAGCAAACGGACCAGAGATGGTTTCACCCCCGTACCTTGAGGAAGGAGAGGTTGCGGTTTCGATCAATGCTGGTAATCTCCAGATTCCCCATGACGACTTCGCAGTTCTCGTAGAGCTTCTTCAGGGTGCGGTACTGCTGGTCCAGGTCTGAGAGTGTGCTCAATTTGTTCTCTGTACCAGGACAAACTACACACAAAAACAGAAGAAGAAGAAAAAAAAGGGTCACGTTTGAGACAATTTGTCTTACAGAGCATATCAACTATGCTGACAGATTCAAAAAGGGAGAAACGCAAACAGTGTAATTAATGATTTTCAGCCATTCATCACCACAGTAGTCATTATGCTTAAAGGCCAGCAGGCTAGCTAACTTGATTACATACATACACAACACTTAAAGGTCAGCACAACCAGTTAACCTAGATAACTTAAACAGCTTTTTCTTTTTTGCCCCTCTTGTAAAACTGATGGAAAATCCCATATATCTGATCTCACTCTATTCTATAACTACAGCCACGGCTGAACATGGTGGAATTTGTAACTAAAGCACTTGTCTGCTGATGAATCGCTTCACTGGCGTGTGCTCCGAATGCGTTAGGATGAAATCAAGACAAAGAAACATCCAGGAGCGGAGATCTGAGGACTAAAACCGTGTGAATACGAGAGCTCGACACAGTGAAAGAACGTGAACGAGGGAGGGCTGAAGGACAGAGGGAACAGTGGGAGGGAATCGAGGATTGAGGGATTACATATATTGCTGAAAGGGGAGTGCAGCAGACGTGACCCTCGACAATGAGGGAGACGCGAGAGTGAAGACTTGGGGAGGGACAAGTGGGGTTAGAGGGGTGGATATCATTTCTCTGAGGCACTGACCTACAGTCTAGGTCTGGCACAGGCACACCGTTTAATCAAAGATATTCAAATTGCATTGGTTGACCTTTACCGAGGGTTTCACTTGGAGACTTTACTTGGCTGACGAGAGTACAAGACTTTGAAGATATTATGGGGAGTAGACACGACTCTGTTGGTGTGTGGGAACCCTGGGCAATTAGATAAGGGTAGGCTTTTCTCCCAGTTTTAGCTGCGTGCACAAAAACAACCATTTTTGTTCCCTACCTTACTGCAAACTCTATAATGTAGAAAGGCATGAAAAGCAAGGGAACTTTCTAAGAGTCAAGAGCAACACCATAACACCACAAAACCAGCCACGCATTTATTCATCAAAAGAAGAGTGAAATAAAGAGAAAAAAGGGAAATAATACAAAAAAGTAAATAAAGTTAATTAAAAGATTCTCCAAATATAGCAAAAGTAATAGAAATACACATCAAATACAGAAAAAGTGCAACTTTTTAAACTTTTTGCAACACACAGTGAGGACAGACAATGCAAAAATGCAACTACACGAGGAAATTAAAACATCAGAAAATACACGAGAGACAAGAAAATAGACTACAATGATTTTATAAATGAATTATTACCTACATTCATTTTTAATGCTATTTTGTGTTTGAATATTATTTTTTTATGACTCATTTATTAAAATCTTGACAGTTTTGGTCCCCCATATTCAACTCTTTTGCTAAAATAAGTAATGTAACTGGCCGTCTGCAGTGCTCATGATAAATGCAACACAATCGACTAATGCAGTGGCTACCACTGTAATTAGTTCCTCATATTTGCGCCCATCAAGCCCTCTTTCCGTCCCTGCCAGCATTTCCACCAGTCACTCAAGCTCCCCAGCCTCAGTCCTGCGACCATCTGCTCCATTCAGCTGGCACGATCGCCATGTTACCGCAGGCGCGACCAGAGGTTTGTGTGTCGGTTTGTGCGTGCGGCATGGCACCAGGATGGAGTTTGGCTCAATGTAATTAAACTGCTCATTAAAGTTTGTCAGCAGTTCAACTTCGAATAGGTCTTACTTTAAAACAGAATAATCACCTTTTTTTTTCAGATACAGCACCGACTGTTTAGGTGAGCAGAAGTGAAGGAAATAGAGATTGAATGAGCCTATTGTGTCTTATGTAGAGCAAACATTAAAATTTCCCATGGACAAAGGCAAACTAGAGTGGTGAACATCATGGTAAAGCAAATGTTTCCCATGCCTTAATTCACTCACACCAGATCATATACGTATTGAAAGTAAATATATGGTTTATTATTAACTTATTATACATTATATATCCAATTAACGATGATATTTTTCATCAAACAATGAAACATGATGTCCTTAAAATTTCCTGCTTTGGGACCTTGGAAAAGGCTAAAATACACTTAACCTTAGGTAAATAGCACTCCCCGATGGCAGTGGGCTCCCTCAGCAGGACAGCATGCCCTGCCAACAACAGAATAGCTTGAGGAAGTTGAGAAAAAGTCCAAGGCCTTAAATCTCTGGCTGTCTTCCACAGAGTTTCTTTTGTCCCCCCTCCCCCCCAACCTCACCACCCTCAGTTGGTTGCAGCAGATGGCTGCCCCTCCCTAAGCCTGGTTCTGCCGGAGGTTTCTTTCTGTTAAAATGGAGTTTTTCCTTCCCACTGTCGCCAAGAACTTGGCCATTAGGGTTGTCTGACGTTTGGATTTTCTTTCTTTTACTTTAGGATCATTGTAATATGAAGGGACTTGAGGGAACTATTGTTGTGACACTCAATCTGTCCAAGCATCGATGGGATGAAGCAGAACAAGCCCAAATGCTAAATTTAAACAACCCGAAGGAACCAATGGATCGAAAGTCGGTATCCCAGAAAACACCCTACATCCATGCTCCATTGGCGTAATTGGGACCTAAACAACAATAATCAGGCGGTTTCAACTTTGTAGCTGACTGCTCCGTAAAAGAAAGTCTAAAGTTTGGTCCTTACCAGGTCTTAAAATTTGGAAAATCCAACCCTCTAAGAATACTGATAAAGTCTTTTTTCCCTCAGCGTTGTGCGAACACACACCTGAATGCTTCAGAACAGCAAGCCAGAAGTTTTGTTTTTATAGAGGTGCTCATACTTGCTGATTCAGATAATCAAGTGCATTTGATTACCCGTTTAATTCCACTGGAAGCAGTAAAGGTGGACTTTTTTTTGTAATTACCTAATTTTAAGATCTGCTTTCTGTTAGCCCCCCTGTCTCTATCTTCACATCTCTGTTTTTTGGATATTTTCTGCTTTACTTTGAAGGTTTGTCTTCCATCATGCCTTCTATTAGTTTTACTTCCTCCTTTGTGACTGTCCAGATTGTTTCCGCCTGTTTCTCATTCACAGTCAGCCCTCAGTGCATGAACACTCGTCCTCCCCTCTGTCTTTGTCAGGGTGTCTGTGTATACTCCCTCATGTTCCTCTATGGGTTATTTCTTTTGGCTTCCTACTTACTCCCAGCTCCTCATGGTTTTGCTTCTTTTTAAAAAATGTTCTTTGCATTTTTGGACTTTGATTAATTTGAACCGTTGATCTGTTACAGTTTGGTTTTATTGAAGCCTCAGCATGCCACCATTCGTGACACATAATTGTCTGAATGCTTCTCTTTGTGCTTCAGTGTGTTTAAATGACTTTTCGTGTGTTTTGCATCCTTCCGGTACTTTGTATGTCCGTTCACTTTGGCTTCACTTATCTTGTTATGCACTTTGCATGATGTGTCTTTTGGAAATTTGGATTTAATTAAAACTGTACCAATTAGACAGGAAAAAAACTGTGGTGAGTTGATGCAGTTGATGCAGTGGAACCCTGACTTACGAATACCCCGTTAAACGAAAAATGCAAGTTACAAAGGCACTGAACGGCAATATTTCTGCCCGTGTTACGACAAAATGCCCATGTTACGAAATCTGCTGACTCTGATTGGCTGAGCCCACAATGCCTACAATGCCCACAATGCCTTCCGAATCATGTGACAATCCCGTGGCTTTCGTACTTGCGCTTCGCTGTTCTACTTGAACGACGTATTGTTGTTGCCGTTAGCAATTAGCCTATAGCCTATCGTTCACTCAAAAGGCGCGATGGGTGCTTTGACTTACGAAAATTTTCGACTTACGAAAGACCCTCGGGAACGAATTAATTTCGTAAGTTGGGGTTCCACTGTACTTGATTTTTGTGTTTGAGAAAGTTATATTTTTGCAGTTGGTGCTGTTGATCAGTCTTTAGATAACTTATTTTACCTCTACTTACCGGTATATAAATTATAATCAGTATTTTATGATCATCTATGTGTTACTTAATCTACAACCAATTCCAACCTAAATCTATATGAAGCTCAAAATAATGTAAGTTAAACTTTTAATGGCATGACTGCTGTCCTTTAGTATCACCCACTTGCGTTTCTCCTCCTGCTTGCATATTTTTTAAAGCCAAAGTTCACATTTTCACACTCAATAGCAAGAAATTCAGGAGAAGAGAACAAAAAAAAGAGAAAAAGACAAAAAATAAGAAAAAAAAAAGACAAAGGGCTATTGCATAGTTGAACTTGGCCTCATATTGAACAACATTGAGAGCTCATAAACTCCCATATTGCTTTATGGATCGTTGGCTCTGCAAAGATGAGCGCACTTCCTCTCCTCTGTGATCCACCATATTGCTGTGGGTACAGGATGCATGGGGCCGAATGGCAGTGAGGGGACCTGAACTATGGTGATAAATGAGATATGCTGACCACACACACACACACACACACACACACACACACACACAC